GACTCAACAGCACTTATCAACAACAACAAGCTCTATAAGATATTAAGAAGTAGAGGTTAGCCAGTGAGAATCTGATATTTGGATTCTGTTAGTACTCTTTTGTTTCCTTTTAGCAATGTCATATTGGTGGTGGTAGCTGTGTGCCATGGAGTCGGTTCAACTCATAGTGACCCTGTATAGAGTTTCTGAGGCTGTAAATTGTCTGTCACGGGAGCAGAAAATCTCATCTATCTCCCGTGGAATGACTGATAGTTCAAACTGCTGACCTTGAGGCTAGCAGCCTGACTCATAACCACTACGCTATTGTGAACTTTAACATACACATAAGTTAATATAACAATACTGTTTTTTGTTTTGTTTTTTAGGATGTTGCACTGTTGAATGCTGTGCTTAGTGCTAAAATGATCACCTCTTTGTTAGCCATGGATGCCTGGTGCTTCCTTGCTCGGTACAACATACCTCATTTTTTAAATTAGTGAATGACAGTAAATGATTTTTTACTTATTAGCAGAGAAATTGTTTTAATTCTTCAATTTGTTGTTGTTAAGTGCCGTCTAGTCAGTTCCAACTCATAGCGACCCTGTATAGAATCAGTCCACTGCTGATTCTACAGCACCACACTAGGAGTCCATTGATTTCATATTATGACGCTAAAATAAGAAATTATTTTCTTCTTTCCTTTCTATGGCTCAGGCCAGCAGATGAGTATTAAGTAGTTTTATATATTGCCATACTCCTTGGTCATGGAAATAGCTGCAGTTTATGTGCCCCCATCAGACTTGTGTAGCATTGTAGGGTTAGCACTGAATGGATTATGAACCACAAATTCTGTGGTTCAGACCCACCAGCTGTTGCTCAGAAACCCTATACAGGGTTGCTATGAATTGGAATTGCCTCAACAGCACTTACAACAACAGTGTATGTTCCTATCAGAATATTTAGTGCATGATGAAAATTCATCTTTTTCTGAATAGCTATACAAACAGAAAGATTGCCTTTTCTTTCTGTTTCAGCTATGGCACTGCTGAACTCTCTGCACATCATGTTACCATAGTGGCTCATTTGGTGAGTAGAATCACAAGACCTAAAACATACTTATTTCATGTATTTCCTTTGAAGATAATATCTCACAGACTATGAAAATCAAAAGGAGATAATAGAGTTCTAGTGATTGTTACAGGAAAGAAAGACGAGGTTTGTTAGTTCAGAATAAATTGAAAATTGTATGCAAGGTAGAGAATAAGAAGAGTTAGTTGTAATCTTGAAGACTAAGATTTCATCTGTCTCTTGATATCCTTGTATTTCTTTTAATCTGGGTGATTTGTTGTTAAGTGCTGTCAAGTTGGTTCCGACCCATAGCGACCTGTATAGGAGCTCCAAGGAGCAGCTAGTGAGCTTGAACTGACTACCTTGCAGTTCAAACAGCTTTGCAGTCTGGTGCATTAACCCACAGTGCCACACCAGGAGTTCCTGGGTGATTTTATTGTTGTTGTGAAGTGCCATTGAATCGATTCTGACCCATAGCGACCCTGTATAGGGTTTCCGAGGAACAGCTGGTGAGCTTGAACTGCTGACTTTGCAGTTCAGACAGCTTTGCAGTCTGGCGCATTAACACACAGAGCCACACCTGGGTGATTTAGAAGTGACTAAATTTGGTAGTAATTGACACCTTTGAGAAAAGATGTTGTTGTTGTTGTTGTTATGTGCCGTGGAGTTGGTTCCAACTCATAGTGACCCTGTATAGGGTTTCCGAGGCTGTAAATCTTTACGGGAGCAGAAAGCCTTATCTTTCTCCCGTGGAACAGCTGGTAGGTTTGAACTGCTGACCTTGTGGTTTGCAAAACGATTCATAACCACTACGCTACCAGAGCTCCTTGAGAAAAGAAGTAATGCTTTATAAATAGGTACAAAGAATCAGTGATTTAATAATGATTTCTTTGAATCTTTTCAGTATGGGCTTTTTTCTTTTAATTCTGAAAAGGTTAATAAGAAACTATGTAAGACGGTCATGATAAAGATCTTGTGATATTGTTCCATGTTTGTTTTGTTGCTTAGCAGAAAATTACTGTTTCATACATTTCTTGGTTTATCTAATAAGGATTTTGTAAATTGAACCCAATTTGTTGTAAAACACTCAGACAACTGACATCTGTGTCTTCCAGGCAAACCGTCTTGACCACCAGTTACCCACTTTACTAAATCCTTAACAGATCTTTTATAAACATGAATTCACAACATAGACAAATAATCATTTTTATTTTCTGTTTTCTGTTGTAGATTTCATTTTTTAACGTTCTCTTACTGCAATATGACAGAAATTGATTTCTAGAAAATAGATTTTATAAAGTATTTAATGATTTAAAATAAAATCTGTAAGTCTTGTAGAGTTACATTCACATCTGAACTACTGTGCTTATTAGATCAGTAAAAGTCCCCTGTGTTGTCTTTGAGTTAGAGGATTAACATATCAAATTATAGAGCATATTATTTTATTTATTTTTTGAGTTTTTATTGTGAATTGTGAAAGTTTACAGGGCACATCATCAGTTTTACATTCAACAAATCATACACCTTATTTAATTACAATGATTATAACCCCTCCATGTGCCATCAGTTAACAGTATTTCTCTCTATTCATTTTATCTCTTTTTTTTTTTAAACAGTCAGGCATATGTAATAATTTACACCACCAAAGGGCATATTCTGCAAGTCTGCTTCCTGGCCGCCAGTTCTCACTCCCTCTCTTTCCATGAATCTAGAGTCCTCAGCTGCTCCCCCTTCTCCATGTCCCCATCTCTGCCTCCATCTCTGGTGTGTCTACTTCTCTGGATAAGGTCCCGCATTCCACTTGTGCTCTTCTCCCTTATGGTCCTAGAGTCCTCTGTTTCTGGACTGTAAAATTAACTACTCCCCTGTTTTTGTTGCAAAACTTATACCTTTACAATTGTGACAGTCTCAATTAGTCATGATAACAATTACTATTGAATCATAAGAATCTTATCCCCATCTCCTTTTAC